TAGTGATCTTTTGTATGGTGAAAAAGATCAAAATAAACTTTCCTTCTCTAATGTATTAACACCTAGCCCACTGCTTCCCTAACAGGAATAAAGTAGGTTATGGTGCTCTGCTCTCTACTGTATTTGAAGCACTTGGAGTGAAACTCAAGGGAGTTTATGGAGGATTGCAGGAGAAGGTAGAGAATATTAAAAAAGGAAAAGACACTGCAGGGGTTGAGCCTAACTGTGGTAGGAAGAAAGCTTCAGAGGGTGGAGGAGAAAAAAGAGTGAAACTAGTGGGAAAAAGAAAGAGGGAGCTAAGTCTGGTGACCCTGTGAGGAAGAGTAGAAGGCTGAAAGCTAGTTCCTTCCTTTAGACTAGTATGGAGAAGCCACTAAAATAGGATGAGGAAGACACAAAAGAAATGGTTGGGCAGGTTGTTGAACTCTCTAACATGGTTAAAGTTGCTGAGAGACAACTCAAAGATGCTACTGGAAGAGTTCATAAGCTGGAAAAGAGTGTGCAGGGTCTTGAGAAGAGTCTCATGGAACAGAAGGTGGAGTTCCAAAAGACTATCAAGAGTTTGGAAGCAAAGCTGGAAGCAAGTATTGAAGCTTACAAGGAGGAGGACAAGAAGATTTTTGGAATCCTCAAAGCCTGAACTAGCTTTCTCTTTACAGACTTCCTTCAGCCTAGCCTTAACTATCTTTCTGCCTTGTTGTTTATGTCATGAATAATTTTATTTTGTTTTGTTTTGATATTTTGAAAACTTTGGTCTGTAACTTCTAAACCACGGTGATTATTTGGTTGTTTTAATGTTTATTTGGAACTTTTCCTATACATGTGTGTTTTGTATGGTCCGAAAGCATATGCAGGATGGTGTGAAGGGACAAGCTAAAGGGAGCTAGTCAGCGCTGCCTTCAGTTTCCCCCACTCGATATATTGCTTGTGGGGCTGTGGTTAGATGTTTAATAACTTGAATTGCAGGAATTTTTTATAATGCCAAAAGGGGTAAAAGAAGAAGCAAACTTGAAAGTGGAAGTTGTTCTGGGTTCCAGTTGATAAAGTATCAGAAATTTCTCTGATGCTATGTATAAAGTAGTTTTGTTCTGTTTCTGTTTATTTTTACTCTAAGTTTTTTTTCTGCTTCAGTTTTGTGTGTGTTTTTATTTTTCTTGTTATAAAAAAAATCAAAAATACAAAAATACGTCCTTCTATTCTATATAACTTTCCTGCTCAAAGTTTGCTAAGTTTGTCAGCATCAAAAAGGGGGAAATTATTGAAGCTTAAGAGTTTTGATGATGATAGATAAAAGCAAATTTCAACTAAAGCGATTTCTCTGAGTGTTGTAACTAGAACAGGTGAAGTTGACTTTGGAAGTGGAAGAGTAATCTGACTATGAAGACACAAGGAGACTTCAAGGAAAGTTAAAGAAAGTAGAAGAAGAGTTCCTCAATGGAACTAACTGAGTTCCCTAACAGGAACATGAAGAGAAGCTCCCTAACAGGAGCTTGACAGGAAGTTGATAAGTTTGACTTGGTATGAGTTGAAGAAAGCAAGTTCTATAAGAACTTGGTCTGCGAAGTTCCAGCAAGGAGCTGGAGAGTGAAGGGCAGCAAGAACTTAATCCTGGTCTACGTGAAGTTCAAGTATCCTTAACCTACAGCGATTGACAAGACAATCCAGCTAGAATATATAAGTTTATGCTAAGTTTATTTTTCTAAGGATTATTGTAAATATGTTAGGAAAGTTTTGTGCATGGAATCTATTAGAGGCGTGACAAAGCTTGGAAAGCTTTTAAAATGGAAATTTAATAAAAGATAATTTTTTAATTTATGAAAAGATTTTTAAAAGATTTTATTTTATTAAATGTGGTTTTACAAAATATAATTCTTTTAATAAATTACATCTTTGATAAGTTTTCTAAAAAGATTTTCTTTACAAAAGATTTACATAAAACGTGTTTTCATGAAAATGGTAGTTTTATAATTTCTATCTTTTTGAATACCCTACTTTACATTCAAGTACTTCTTGTATATAAAATAGAATTCATAATTCGCACAACTTTGTGAGTTTATGCGTGAAGAATCTGAAGAGAGTTCGAAAGTGTAAGTTTTCCAAGTCTAAACTTTGTCATATTAGTTTCGAATTCCATGTGTAGCTTTCCAGTCACATATTAGAGTCAAAGAGTTTGTATCGTTATTGTTTTGGGTGTGTGTGTTAAGCAAACTGCATACAGATTGTAGGCTTCTAGATTGAAGCTGAGAGAGTGGACATTCAGGGAGTGTCGAGTAGAATCTAAGTCCTGGACTTAGGTATGGTAGGATAGGGTCCTATCGAGTAGCAAGTTCAGTCTAGAACTTGTGAGAAAGGTCTGATTGTAATAGGTTGTAACTAGGAGTGTTTGGCCTATTATAGTGGATTGGTTTGGTGTTTGAAATCCCTTGGAGGGTCAAAGTTTTACTTCCAATTGGGCCCTAGAAGGTTTCCTCGTTAAATCTTGTGTGCATTGCTAAGTTCTTTTACATTTGGTTTAATTCCGGAAAAGTAGTCAATATTCACCCCCCCCCCTGTAGTGTTCGTCTCAACTAACAAAATGTTTCTTTATAATCAAGCATCCTTGACTCATGGCCTAAACAACCATGTCATTCAAATAAAACCAACAACTATTGTTCTTTTACTTTGAATGTGAGTCTTTCCGTGTGTATACAAAACATTTGCTAATTATGGAACACAATAACTATTATTTGTTCTAGCCTTAGCTTTAAAAGGTCTTTAAACAAAGCAGATTACCTTACAACTAATGTAGCACCTACTTTCTTCATTCCAAGCTCGTAAGTCAATAACATAGCTACTTAACTTATACGGTTTGAGGTAACTTCAGAAGTGGAACTCTCAAGTAGTATCTGATACTTGTGAAGATAAGTTGCTAAGCGAACTACAATAACATAAACTCTTAGGTAGAATTGGAATCTCGTATTCCTCTTTTATGTTCCTTGTTCCTATATTTCTTATCATACATCATATCATAACTTTAAGAACCACTACTTTAAGAGTTTTTGACTTTTATACTTTGTTAGGCACAATTGAGCATTAATGCACTGTAAAACAAAGTTCCATCTTTTCCTTTAATTCATACTTGAATTACTACATCAATGAGTCCTACTCATTAGTGTATAAAGCGAAAAGATATGTTGGTTTTCAACTATTGACAATTTGAGTTTTCAACTCAATACTTCATGTTTATCAAACTACCTAGTATTTTGAATACATGATGTCCAACCGTCTTTTCGGACTAAGCCATAAAAGTCATTTATGAGAAGTTGTACTTTAGAAATGACTCTTCTTTCCTTGAGAACCATTCTCAAAAGATTTCCTTTAACCAATAGTTGGAAACATTATAATTTGATTTAGAATTCTACAAATATAAGTGCAAAGTATAACAATTATCAAGATAACATAATAAGCATTAAAATACATGCAAATTGGCAATTTCAATTAACTTATTAATGTTCTATTCACACATTTATAAATTTGTCCCAATTAGGCGAGAATAAAAGGATTCCAAGACCACAAAAATCAAAAAGTGATTAAGCATGCTTTGGCTTGTCTTAAAACTTAATACTTTAAGGTAAGCAATCCAACTGCTAATAGCTCTAAGCTTTTCTTGGTTCGATAAATCGTCGCATCCAATGCTTCCTTGACAGTTATCTCCTTTTCCACAATATCTAAGGACTCCTTACTGATATTGTTGAGTTTAACCAAAACTAACGTGTGTATGATGCCTTGCTTTAGCAAGCCCACCAACATACCTTACTTCCCTGGGAAAGTAGTAATGCCTTGCTTTGGCATAGCCCATTACTATTCTTATTAGTTCCGTAAGTGTCATTTTGGAATGACAATTTTGACTAAATATTCTTTGGGACTTAGGGTTTCTATGTTGGTTGATTTAAGTGACCTGAATTAATCATTCAACATTCGAAATCCTAAACATACATCTAATGTCGCAATCATATATAAGCAAACATAAAAGGCATAATAAAGATGCATTGGAAAACTAGCATGAGCCCCTTGAAACTTGAAGCATGCAATCTTCAAAAGGCCTTAATTGCATTTTCTTGGCTTCGTCTTCTTAGAAACGCCGTCTTGAGACATGACCACCAAAATGCAACTACTAGAAAAACTAGGATTAATCTAAATAATTTAAGTACAAAAATACATAACGGCATGCAGTCCATATTTAGATTTACAAAAATACAAAACGGATCGCAGTCCGTATTTACTATCCTAGTCGGGCCATACTAGTTGCCATTTTGAAAAACCTGCATTAGAACATCTACAATATTCCATTCATCCATTCACCAAAGTGAATGAGCCATGCATTTTACAAATAATTTAAGCATCAATACAAAACAATGTATTAAAACGAGCGCATACGAGTTACTAACTTAGGTGGTTAGTCCGATTAATACACCTAATAAAAACTAGTCAAAGTGTTTATCCGATTATGTGTACTAATGCAATAATATAAGCACAAGCTTTTTTTCGACACAGAAAAGCGTCGCAAAAATCTTTCTCAACTACTACAAAAAGCGTTAATTTAGGGCGCTTTTTCGAGAGAAAAAAGCGTCGCAAAAATCTTCTCGACGCCGTACTATTGTGGTGAAAAAATGAGTCGAGAAATTTGCCGACAACAATAAGCGTTGCCATTCTTGACTTTAATTTGTCCAGATTTTTATACGAAGCGTCGCCATTTGCAACAGCTGGCGCACTTCCTTAACTTTAACGCCGCCTTTTGTGGTCAAGAATCTTAAAGTTGATGACACTCTTTTATGTCCAGATTTTCATACATTTGATGTCTAACATTTTGGCGACGCTTTTTCATGTCCATAATTTCTATTTTGGGGACGCTTTTCTTGTTAATATTCTGTAAAAAAAATATCTAGAATACCAAAATAAGATACAGTATTTTATTCACCGACAATTATTTCTAGCATACTAATATTACCAAAAAAATAAAAATACATGTACAACAAAATTATGCCAAATATTTTTTATTTCATATAAATATATTATAGCATATGTACAATATCTCATAGTAATGAGTTTTCTATTACAGTAAATATAATTGCAACTTATACTTAACTCGTGACTAGTTGTAGTGGAACAAATTCCGAATCACTGATTTCAATCTTTAAATAGCTAAAATATATCTTTCTTCCATCCTTGAAATATTGCAGTTTTAGTTGTCAGCCCTTTTCTACCGTTTCTCAGTATATAATCTTTTGATCCTGCAAACACAGTTCAGCAAATGCATCAATCAATACATCAACAAGCGAATCTAAATACAATAGTAGATCAAAATTACTAACTATACAGAGAATACAATCTCTGAAAAATATTTTCCACCTAATAATTTAAGCAAACCAAAATCACAACCTAACTTTCATAACTAATTATGGAGTAAAGAACAAACCAAAAGTATCAAGGCATCCATACACTCAGAAGACAAGACATCATTTGCCAAATTCTTAAGTTTTGATTTCTGCAATGAATATTAATAATAGATGAATATGCAGAGCCCTGATAAAAAGAGAGAGAGGATGGTGATGTACCTTTTTTCTTCTTGGCTATTCTCGTTACACGTCTAGTCGAAAGCCATAATTATGGTTTCTTAAGCTGCTTGTAGGGGGGAGTAAAACAAAGTTCAGATTGTGACGAAATGCTCAGACCTGCAATCCAAAGAGGAAAAAACAGCCATTAACCTTTTAGACTTTCTTTGGAGAATATATACCTTATCGCAGTATACCACTACATGTATACAGGAACCAATATCTTCCTCCTAAAGTTGACATTTTGCAGCCAAAGCCTCCAAATCCCTGAATAGCTTTAAGAACAATAAAATCTTTATAGGAAAATTGCCTATTAAACCAGCCAACCAACGATAGAATGTGGCTAACGGCAGCTTCTTCTTTGACCTTGGAAACTTTTAGTTCCATTTGTTCTGGGGCAAAAGTAGGGTCCAAAGCTCCTCAATAAAGAGGATTAAGCATTGTTGGAAAACAAATAAGAACATAATAGAAACTAGTATTTAAATGCTTCTAGCAAGTTACCTATTTATATTACTTCAATAAGAAGTTCTATTCCATCATCTACTGCAGGAATCATGTATCTTCTGACAAATTTCATCTAGCTCTACCCTATTCTTTTGAGGCAAGCTCTTTCATCTTACTTTATTTGCTCTTCTATCCTTGAAACTTCTGCCAAAGGGTCCACGACATGCACAAGTGCATAGATCAGACTCATGCTATTCTCATGAACCAGCAAGGAGTAACTATTGATTGTATGACTTCTTTTCTTTCAACATCTGCTTTGATATGCAGGTCACAACATTAGTGAAATAATATTGTTTCATATTGCAATATCCTTACTCAAGCCAATAGCCCACCAAAAAAAAACATGGATGAAGGTTAGTACTAGCAGCTCACCAACAATAAAATCTTGAAAAAACAACTAAGAAGGGAGGATGTAGAACTAAAACTAAGATTAATTAAATACACGCCGAGAAACACAAATTATAACAAAGTCTAACTAAAACAGTTAGACATGAAAAACTCAAAATCATACCTTACCTTTTTTACAAGAGCAACTATAACTAATCCTGATTACAATTATAGCAGTGTGAAGTCACTATCCTTGTTCTATTTTTGATAATAGTTATATCACCGACAGTTGCATCAAGTTTCTGAAGGGACAAAAGTTTACCAAAAAAAAGGTTTAAGGATGTATACAAAAACCTAGCACATAAAATGGCTCTTTTACCTATAAATAAGTATGAAAAAGTTCTTAAATAAATAGATATATCTCCAGACAAGCTCGTGAATTTCGTTTCCAGTATACAGTAATTGCTGACCTCCTTGGAAAATAATGTAAGCTTAAATTCATTAAACTCGAGTCCTAGAGTCCTACAGGTAAGTTATTAATACATAAATTGTGTTTCTTTTATTGATTCAAGTCTGTCACAACCACGAACACACACAAGATAGGATACAATCACAACCACGAACACACACACACAAGATATGACACAAACACAGCCATGATGATAGCTCAGGCAGGAGGCCAGCAGCTCAGTCAGCAAAAGAAGGGAGTAGCAAGTTTGCAACAACACCTCAACGCATGCAGCAGCAACATACGTAACTGCAACACCCAACCTGTTGCCAAGTCACCTGCCATGAGGCTGCCAACGCGGCTGCCATGTTAGCAAGACAAGAGCAGCAGGGAGATCAAGTAGGCACCAAATTAGCACAAAAGCAGCAAGTGGAGAAAAAACTTCTTCAAACCCTCTTAAGTAATCACAATCCCCAATACACCCCGAAAAATGGAATTAGTTTGCAAAATTAATTCTACAAATAAGACCCGATTAAGAATTCAGTTGAAATCAAATAAAAAAAAAAAAAAAAATGAACTCTCCCGAATTTTCTCTTACAAACATGAAAGATCTCTTTGATTACACAAAGGTGTGTCATATTGCAAAATGCTAGTAAGACCCATTATTTCATGTTTTGGTACTTACAAAGGAATTTTCAATTACTATCTAAATACATATCAACTCGTGAACAAAAAAAATTTAAAGCCACTAAATTACTGGTTGAGCATGGAGTAATTCTCTTATATCATAATCGATAATAAGTAGTCTTCAACTCAGTTCTTAACTAAACAAAAAGAGTATGCAAAGAGATGTACCAGTTCTCTAAGCAAGTGGGCTTTGACAACACCTCCAACATCAAATTATGGCTTCACTTTTCTGAAATCCAATGCAAACTCCCAGAGTCACAGATCAAATGACAAGGGAAAACCCAAATCAATATGCCCCCAAAAAAACACCGACTAGATCTAGAGGAGGAATAAGTATTAAATTGAAAATCCATTTGATTAAAACCCTAAAAATAAACAAAAACAACATCGACTAGATCTAGAGGAGGAACTGACAAAATTACAAGTAACATTTGCTAGGTAAGAGAAACACCCAAAGATGAATTGAATTTGATATAAACTAACTAAAAAAAAACAAATATCAACCAAACAACCAATAAAATACAGTCAAAGGGAACAAGAATCTGCCATTTCGGTTTGGTTGTTTTTGCTTCAATTTCTTACTGCTTCTCAAAATCTCAACTTCTCTTTACAAATTTACTTCTAAACTTTAATTTAATCGATTGAATATACACCTATTTTAAAGTCGCACATGAAATCTGACTATACTATCTCTTATAACCGAATATTTACCCAGATTCAAAAGTAAATTGCAGAATGAAGCATAACAATATTTATAACTATAATAAAACCCTATAATCTCAGTTATTCATAAATCAAACAATAACTGATCGTAATTTTGTGATAATGTTGAAAAAATTTGCTAAAAACAATTTAATAGACTTCAATCAAAAGCGAAATTCGAATACTAAATTGAAATGTTTACCTTAGAATCAACGGCGGCATAGAGAGTGACAAAATTGATTACAGTTCAAAGTGAGTAGAGAAATTTCGTTACAGTTAAAAATTGATTCGAATACTAAATTGAAGTATTCCTGCTTTAATTTCATTAGGCAACAAAAACCTAGGCAACATAGAATGCAACAACAAATTCATAGTCTCATAGAGAGAGAAAAGGAAGAATTTAGATAATTTTCAGAAATTTGGATAACATCCTTGTGTAATATGGCCATCTCCATGCAATATTGGGAACAATTTTATATCCCTATCATTGAGATTAGAGTGATTTGATTAACCCTCATCATCACTAGAAGAATCATCATCACTATTCTTTTACTTTTTCTTCTTTATGATGTCAATTATTAGAGTAGAGAAAGCCTCGAATCTAGCCTTAGTCTGACAATCTAGTTGTTTTGTTCTCTAATCAAGTTACTCACATTTCTGATGGAAATCATCCATAAGTTTTTTTATTTACCAATTCCTCTGCCATAGTAATCACATACAAGGGAAAAATGAACGCACAAGAAAATAGTAGCAGCAAGAAACACAGGGGAATAAAGAATGCTATAATATTTTCAAACACCCTCAATATACCCTAAATTACACAGGAAATCCCTAGAGAAAATTACAAAACAACTCTATTAAAATCCCACCCAAACAGCAAGAATAAACCAATTAGAACCAAAACAGACCAGTCCGAACAAAACAGCCCAGTTTAATAGCAAATAAACTCCAAAAATTCTGAAATTTTAAAGGCAGAAAGTAGACAAAAAAACACCCAAATTTAAAAAAAGAATCACCTAAAAAGCTTCTCTAACGAAGGAGAACGAGCCAAACGAAGTCAGCACTCACAGCAGCTCCTACGAAAATCAATGCGATGGAATTGTGAGGCGAAAAAAACAATGCGATCTTGCTCATTCAAAAACATGAAACAAAAGGCTAATTTTCTGTATTGAATTAAACCAGAAGCACAAAATGTAACATAACAGAACCCTAAAATCTCAATTACTCATGAAGCTAACCCATATCTAAACATAATTTGTGAGATTATTGAAAAATAAAACATTAAAAAACGAATTTGGGTCAAGATCTATTAATTGATTCAAAGAGAAAGGATGTACCTTAATATTATCGATCGGCACTGAGAGGGACGACGTAGATTACAATTTTGGGTCAAGATCTATAAATTGATTCAAAGAGAGATGAAGATCTGAATTTTATATTGATTTACCTAAATTTGAAATTGAATCCAAGAAGGACAAAGATCTGAAATTGAAATTGATGTACCTCAATTCGAAGAATCTGATTCACAAAATGATATTCCTCACATTGAAATTACTCCGAGGAAAACAAAGATCTGAGTTCGGAAACAATGGTTCCGTAAGTGTCTTTGTAGAATTTGGATTGAAAGAGAGAAGAGTAGTTTGGTTGATGAGTAACTAGTGGTTTTTGTTTTTGTGTTTGTGTTCTTGTTCGGTGGTTACATCTTCCCTAAATTCTACAATTGAGGGTTTTTGCAGTCACTTGTAGGGCACTAGTTATGTTTCTCGACCCTTTATAACGCCAAAAATTAATTTCGTCCTAAAAACGCGTCGAGATATACGCATAGTATAATTAGTAGTTGACGCTGCTTGCCGAGCGTCGAAAGTCAAGCGTCGAGAAAATGCTCTTTTTGTATAAGGCTAAATTAAGCTCGGAACGATTAATGAATGTCCCACTAAATTCCACACCCAACTTAATTAAAATTCCAATTAAAATTAATTAAGCCTATTGAACAAAATTTTGTCAAAAATAATTTTGCAAGTACATGGAAAAATTGAGGCCTAGCCTCGTTTTAATAAAAAATACAAAAACGCAAAACTGCAAAATAGCAAACCCCTCAAGGGCCAAGTGCCTAGCATCCAAGCCAAGGGGCTAGGGCTGCTAGGCACCCTAGCCAATAGTTGCGTGCGGGTGCTGGCACGCTCAGCTAGCAGCGCATAGCATGGCACACCTGCTGGCACCAGTAGCCTTGCAGCATGCTGCGCATGTGTGCACGCAGCTGGAGCTGACAACTTGCTGCTGTGTCTGCTAGCACTTGCTATACACCCGCTGCCTAGCAGTGCTTGCGGGCTGGCCTTGCTCGCACACAACGCGCACACACGCACACCCTTGGCTCGTCAGCAACATGCGGGCTTCGCAAGTAGCCCTGCTAGCCGAGCCTAGGTGCTCGAAAACTTGGGCTTCGATTTTGTGCTTGTTGTGCTTCGGTATTTTATTCCGAATTTTTGTGTGACGTAAAATTAATTCTAAATTAATTTTATAACTAATATTGAGCAATATTGAAAATAAAACATGTACAACTTAAATAAATTCAATTTTAGTGCACAAACCAAAATAAATTCAAGAACCATTTTTTAAATTATTTTGTCTCAACTTGATGCAACAAAAAAATTAGGGTTATTCTCACAATTAATTTAACCAACATAAATTAATAATGAGATTTGACAAATAAATAAATAAATAATCATCCAACGAAAAAATTTATCCAACACTTACTTATGGACATATGAACATTACAATCTTCCAATATGAAGAGTAATGATATTTCAAGCACAAGTATGAACATTTAAGATTTTAATCAACTTCCAAACTAAGTAAAACCAAAATTTTGTTCATTATGGAATTTATCAAGTTAAGATTCAACCATTAAAGATAGAATCATTAACATTTTAAGGGGTTCAAAAATCATATTCACAATAAATTTTTCACACTACAAGCAATTTATTTGCAAGAATGTGAAATTCAAGTTTATGTGAAATTAAGAGCTAACCAAATTAATCAAACAATATGACTTCATAAACATGCTTAATAAGGAGTAAAATTGCAGAAGATTAATGGTATAATCAAACACATAATCCAACAATTGCATGCCATAATTAATCAAGGTTTAAAGATTTAAAATATTTTGTTTCAAACGAAAAACCCCTCGAAAAACCCTTCGCAAAACCACTTTCTGGGCCGATTTTGGCTTCTGGAAGGTCATTTTTAAACACTTTGTGATAAAGAATGATTTAAAACGTCGATTCCACCCAAAATTCACTATTATTGAGTCGAAATCAGGGTTCGTAGGCCAAAAATAGCATAAATACGATTTTAATCTAATTAAAAACGAGGTCCTACTCTAATTAGGATGCTACACCAGAAATTTAAATCCATTTAAATCACTAAAATTAATTATTAGTGACAATAATTAAATGCATGTAGCTCGTGATACCGCTATTGGGTTTTGCGATGTCCAACACCGCGCGGAAACGAAACCCGCCCAAAGATCCGTGCATAAATTAAAGCAACTAAACATGCATGCAATTAATTAAACAATAAACACATAATAATAGAGAGAGAGAAAAAGAGGAAAAGAAGATCATACCCTTGATGCGTATTTTCACTTAGCACGAGCACGAACACACGAACGGAGAAAGAGCCTCAAACGCGACCCCTCCAACGTAGTCCACCCACGCGCCCAAACTTGGCTTATATTACTGGCTAGGGTTATATTAACACTACTAACAAGATAATCTGTTTATAAGGTTTTTTTAGTGGAGATGCCTTGTATAGAGTTCAACTCTTGCAAAGAATTCCCAAGGGAGGCCTTGGGTATTTATAGGAGAATCATCTCCATCCCCTTGATATTATATCAATGTGGGACTTCTGCAAAGTTGAGAAAAGCTAGTATTTAATTTAATTCTAAAATAAATTAAATAGCTAGAACAAATAGTCAAGTAACAAGTGGCAATCACATGGGAGTGGTTAGGTGAGGACCACAAGAAGAGCCACATGGCCTCCTTGTTCCCCAAGCCACCAAACCCACCAATCACAACAACTTATGACAGGTCAAGGCTTAGGCAACAAGGCTTGCCAAGGTGGCAGCCTTGTGCCTCGGCTAGGCCCTATGCCTTGAGCACTAAGGCCGGCCTTTGCTGGTTACCTTGTGCTCTCGGATGGGCTAGCCAGCAAGGCCAATCGCAGCACAGCAAGCCTCACACGCTTGCGGGCCGCTGTTGCTGCTAGGCTGTGGTGCTGCCATCACAAGCCCAAGCACAAGCCGGGTTGCTGCTGCTGCTTGGTAACCGCATCATACGCTAGCAAGGCCTGGCTAGCTAGGCTAGCTACTGGGTCTTGCTTGAGATGCCTGCGCACCACGCACTCGTACAGCAGGCCCTAGCCAGCCCATGCACGTGGCTTGCTTGGCTTGCGGCCAGTGCTAGGCTTGCAACAGCATCAAGCTAGCCCTAGCCCTCGCACGGCTCGGCCGATGCGAGGCTAGGACTATAAGATTTGACTTGTTGTTTGATTTATTTGCGCGTCTCGTAGCTTCCTAGAATCGACTCGACGTTTTGACGTTCGGCTTCGACGCTCTAAGCTTGGAATCCGATGTCGGAGTACGTATCCTCATGTTTGACGTATTAAGGCATTCGGCTTAATTCGTCGCCTTAGTTTGGTTGCATGCTTGGGTATGACCCGTTAGGTTCAGTAAAAGGAAAGCTGTGAGATTAATATAATTAATCTCACTGATCGGAGATGGCCTCTAGCCCGACTTTCCGATCACTTGACTTCACTGAATAATTAACTCCGTAATTGATTTTGAACCCTCTATCGGAATAATACACTTGTTCGTAGGACACCATTCCTTTCAAAACTAGCTGCTAGTATAATTACTATAAGATTTTAAGGCCAATTACACCAAGCTAATTTGACTGATTACATCTTCAGTTTTTATATTGATTCGATTGCACATCACACCAAGCCAAGCATATATACATGCATACATACAAAATAAATCATGTTGCAAGCCATAGAAGAACGCAACTGAATGTACACGCACCAGTTTGGAAGGGAGAAGGACGCATAACACTGCAATTATATTCAAAACTGATGAATTTCAAGCATCATAAACTATCCCAGCACACCAAAATTGCAATTTTGATCTTATAATCAATAATTATGAATTTCAATCATCATAAACTATCTAAACCTTTGAAATTGCAATGTGCCTCATGAAAACTCTAACAAGAAGAATTCCAAACAAGGACTATAATTAATAACACTAAAATAATTACATCTTCAAAATTTAGTAAATCAGTTCAAGGTGACATTAGAATTCATTTAACAAACTCTGCACGAATTTGCATGTAATCTATCTAAAAACTTAAGTTTAGAATTTAATTATAAAAAAAAAAATTAAACGATTGATTTGCATAAGTTCTTGAAAATTCATGAATAAAAAAATTAAACGATTGATTCGATTGCACATCACACCAAGCCAAGCATATATACATGCATACATATAAAATGAAAATCATGTTGCAAGCCATAGAAGAACGCAACTGAATGTACACGCACCAGTTTGGAAGGGAAAAGGACGCATAACACTGCAATTATATTCAAAACTGATGAATTTCAAGCATCATAAACTATCCCATCACACCAAAATTGCAATTTTGATCTTATAATCAATACTTATGAATTTCATTCATCATAAACTATCCAAACCTTTGAAATTGCAGTGTGCCTCATGAAAACCCTAACAAGAAGAATTCCAAACAAGGACTATAATTAATAACACTAAAATAATTACATCTTCAAAATTTAGTAAATCAGTTCAAGGTGACATTAGAATTCATTTAACAAACTCTGCACGAATTTGCATGTAATCTATCTAAAAACTTAAGTTTAGAATTTAATTATATAAAAAAAAATTAAACGATTGATTTGCATAGGTTCTTGAAAATTCATGAATAAATAACCAAAAAATTAAGAAAAAAAAAATCAGCACATACTTGGAATTGGAAGCACAATTCGATAATACCCTATATCACACGCTCAAGACAATGATTGATTTTCTGATTTTCTAATCATCAATACCCAATATCAACGAACAGGTATAAACTTAGGTCAGAGATTTTCGATGGCTTTGGGAGGAGGTTATTCAGGGATCGATTTTGTTTTGTTTTCTTAGGCGGTTTCGAAATTAATTTTGCTCCAAATTTTATTTCGTATTTTTTATTTTCTTTTGGCATCAATAATAATAAACCTAGCAGCAGATAAATGAATTGTTAAAATTGGTAATTAATTAACACACTTACTTATTTTTATTAAAAGTTTAATTTATTTTTTTACCTATAAATAAGTAACACCTCTTAATGTTACCACAAAATGTTACCTATTTTAAAGTGTTACTTAATATCAAAGTGTTACAATCAAGTGTTACTTAATATCAAAGTGTTTCAATCATGTGTTACATAATGTCAAAGTGTTATAATAGTGTTACTTATAAATTAGTTATGTTTCTAGCTTTGAAAGTTATACCATGTGGTGTTACCTTAGGTTAGTTTTGTACTAGTGTATAAGTGTCATTTTGGAATGGAAATTTTAACTCAATTTTCTTTGGGGGTTTGAGTTTTTATGTTGGTTTGAATTAAGTGATCTTAGCCAATCATTCAACATGAGAATCCTATAAGCATGCATCTAAATATCAAGATATAAGCAAATAAATAGATAAATAAATGCATAGTGAACTAGCATGGCCCCTTGAAAAAATCTC